CTAATAAGAAGTCTGCTTTCTACTCCAAATTGTTTTTCCAACAGACCATACAGACCTCCACCCCCACTCCCCGGCCTCCAGTAACTGAGAGACATCACACAGACTTAGCAAGGAGTTGGAGGAGGTGTAAGGAGAAGGAAGTGTGAACAAAGACCCAGGAATGACCATCCACCCTTCTATTCACTTTCCCACTCTGGGGTTACGATGGCACGGCCTGCTTTCAGCATCACAGAAAAAATAATGTGGCCGGTAGAAATGGGGTCCTTTCACAGAATCGTGAGGAAAGTATTTCAGGGGAGCCCCATGGGAGTTTGTGGTGCAATGGTAAGGATTTACTGAAATTGCGGCAAATGCAAAGGCCCGGCCTGGCTTCAGCTCTTGTCCCTCTGGGGCCAGAGCCCAGCCTTGTCTTCATCAGGCCCAAAAACAGGGCCAGTGTCCAAAAATCCCGTACCATGCCAAGGTAGTCCAGTGTAGTCTCTGCCCCCATCTGGCTAGCTTAGTCTGTTGTTGGCTGCACCTCAACAGTGCCCAGGCCTGCGCTTGGAGCACAGCTCCTGGGGGTGAGGATGGGGGGCGTGTCCCAGGAAGCTGCTAGTCCCACATGGTTTTTATGGAGAAAGAATGAGGATGCTAATGCGCAAATGTGAGTGTTAGCAGGAAGAGAGCTCCAGAGCTTTGTTGAGCTCGGATTATAGGATCTGGGCTTGAGAATGATCTGGCATTTTTCCAAAATAACCAATCAGTTTTCCAGTCCTTTGCAGGTATGTGCTCAGCCCTCCCTCTAACCAATCCCTTTCCTAGATCTCATCTAATCCAACCCTTTTCACAGGCTAGCCACCTCCCCTTGATGGCTGCCACCCTGGCTTCTACTGCGCATGCTCTCAGCAGAGGACTTTCCCCCTGTTTTCTCTCTCCCTCAGAAATGCCAGCCAATGAACAGTCTTGATGGAGAGTTCCTTTTGCTTCCTTTCTCTATTAACATCTAGCTACCTGTGCTAGCAATAATGGAAGAGTTGCTGACAGCAGCAGTGAACTTTGATTCTCAACTCCCTCCCACAAGCCCCTTGGGCATCTAACATGATGATACTTCAGTAATGGTACTGCCTTCTTAGAGAACTGTGCCTGAGCCTCTGATAGTGGGTCCTTTGAGTCAGGAAGGGGTGGAAAACAGCATGAAAAATACACTTAAAAAAAAAAAAAAGATATGGGCTCTCGTGAATTCCAGGTCTAAGTGAACCTCAGTTTCTCATGGAACTGACTCCAAAACTAAATTTGCCTTGTATTATGTGAAAAATAAGACGTATATTTACCTTATGACTGTGATTGTCTTACTTTTGTGATTCTTGAATTTATTTGATCAGCTTCCATGGAATGCAGATTATTAAAAAATATTTTGGAAGCTGTTAGCCTTTGTTAGAGTTTGGCAAAATTATTATATCTAATATTTTTATTAGAATTAGTAAAATATCTTTAACCAATAGAAACAAATCTTTAACAATATATCTCCTTTCTCCTTCAATTGAATGACTTAAATTTTATTTTATTTTATAAGAACAATTCATAACCTGTTGTAATGTGTGCTTTAAGCAATTAATTTGCCCAAATATTTTCAGCATGTCTTCACTGTAAGGAAAAATAAATTGTCTAACAGTTTCTTTTTTTTTTTTTTAATTTCAGTCATATATCACTGAATTCAAAGCACTTGGCCATATGTCAGACTGTGGCAGGTAGGTCATATGATTAGTTTCATAGTATGTGAACTATTGGTGCACTTTATACCGCTAACAAGTTTATGCACTATTGGTACACTTTATACTGCTAACAAATTTATTTGTTGAACTAGAGTTAAATCAGCATGGCTATTTGAAATTCACATTAGTTCAGTAAACACATCACTGAGCACAAAACAAAACAAAACAAAAAACCCCTATTTTAAATCTGTTTTTCTGCAGCTGCACATTTTAAAATTAATCAATATATTTCTTATCAGTTTCCCACTGCTAAAAAATGTGAAAAGTTGACTGGCCCCACAATGGCAGATGAAATAAATAACTGAAAAGCATCAAATATTTTTAATTGGTTTATAGGGATCTTTTACACACACACATATATGCACAAGAACAAACATGCTACTTGTTTAAAAGTATATATATAAATAAAGTCACACAAATGTCTATTTACACTGAAAACATGATGGCATCACTGGACAACTAAATATGAAAGATTTATTATAATAATCCCCCTCCTAAACTATTTCATGCTATTTAACAGACAACATTCCAGAAATATACATATTGTCTAACTTATTTCTTAACTGAAAATTCGGTCACATGAATCTATGCTAGAACTATAACAAATATGCATATTATTAATATACCTTGAATAAAAGAACCATTGATAAATCCTATCAATGAGGCAAATTTCACCTCTTGTCATTTGCTGTTAATATGTGCATGCTGAGGTGATATTACATTACTACAGCAGGTTCTAAATCATAGTTTAGATTCCCATGGTTGATGTCTTTTATCTTTATCTTGTACTAGGGGCCCAGTGCATGAAGATTTGTGCATGGAGGGTAAGTCCCTCAGCCTGACCTGAAACCTCTCCACTCTGGGAGACTCAGGGGAGCTCTCTCCAAACTAGGAGTTTCTGTCTGTCTTTGTAATCATATAGCAAATTTTCTGACATCCCAACCCAGTTTGGTTTGGTGGTCATAGAATAATAGACATCTTTTTTTAATTTTGTTCTATTGGTGGAGATTTCCTAGAAGTTGTAGGATATCTTCCCTTGAATTTTTCCTTGACACACTGACTTTACTTATGTCTCTCACCTTTTCTTTCCCTCCATCCCCCATCCACAACAGTATCTTGCTCCAGGCTCGTTTTGCTCTAGTGTCTAGGAGATCCCACAACACGTCTGCCACCAGAACTACAATTCCCAAAATTCCTGGTGCTCCCCTTGTTCTTGGTTTCCATTTCAGGTACAGGGTTGCAGAAACCAAAAGGACTTTGAACTCCAGCCACCCCCAGGCCAGGCTGACAGGACCAGACACTCCAGTGGTGTCCCTGGGACCCCCGCCTCTTGGAGCTGGCACACACACACTGGCCATAGGCTCAGAGTGGGCAGGGTCCTGGGGACGCCCGCCTATTGCCCAGGCTACACGGAGGGGGGCGTTCAACCCCACCTCCAGCTGTTCAGTGTTCAGGAGCCATTTTTTGTTGGGTTAATTTACATACCACTCCTGATTGGCTGTGAGCATCATGGAGGTATGATCAATTTACATATTTGTCTATTATTAGTATAGATGATTTATATAAGGTTATTTTGATATATATTAGTAATTGTATGAGATAGATATCTAGATTAACTTCATTTATCAGCCATAGTTTTTATAACATTAAACAAAACCAATAAATTTTTAATAAAAATACTATACCAAAACATAAGACAAATTCTTCCTCTTTTTGAAGGCAACATGAATGAAGCATGCATAACACTGTCGCTTAGTTAGAATAAATTATTTTCTAAATCCCTAGTGCATGTTTCTATTGTGTGTATCTGTAACTTTGTGTGTTACTTCAATATATGTATTCAATTCCACCAGCCCTTCGAATAGTGTCAAAAGCAAGCCTTCCTTTTTCATTTAACTGGAAAAACCAAAAGGCTTTAGACATAAGACAGAAAGCAAAAAGGACAAATGTTTTTGTTTGAATTATGTTGCCCTTTAAATTATACTGCACAAGTACAAGTAGAAATAGAACAATTCTAACTTTAGAAACTGAAGCATATAAATGTCTCCTCTAGGCAAACTGTCAAGACAACCTGGATAGCGTCAGTGAAAGTAGGTCTGTCCTTTCTTGGCTATAAAACTGGAAGGAGAAAATCTTGTTACCAGAGGCCTCTTCAGATAAAAACCAGTTTTTCAGCCAAAGAAACTTCTCTCTTCCTCAAAGTGCCTAGTCAGTTGATTTCTAAATGCTATGAGGTCTTTTTTTTTTTCCTTCCAAAAGTGAAAACAATTGGCTCTTCTATACTGTTTACCCTTATCCTAGGTCAAATTATTCAAAATTCAAGTGTTTAATGAAAAAATAATGAAGATCTAAAACTCTATTCAAAATATAATAAAGAAAAACAGTCTGCATCAAGATAGTTTTATACAAGCATTCATAAAGATATCATTAGTGATTATATAATCTAGAATAAATAGAATTTCCCCAAAAGAATGACAGAGTCAAATACACCTTCCAAGTTTCTTTTTAGCCTTTACTAATACATTGGGAATAACCCCATTGACAAAAGTACCCTAAACATTTTCAGCCTAAACTAAATAATACTATCTCAACCAGTTAAAATTCCAAAAGCACTGGGTTGGTGAAGGGCATGTGACTCAAAATTCCATTATCCATAGACCAAATTTCAATAATTTGCCAACCCCACTTTGCAACCCCAAATACAACAATACAGCTACAATGTACACTACAGAAAATGAAGAGTTCCCAGCAGGTTTTCGCAATAGGAAAAAAAGTGCTTTCTTTCATTTTTATGTAAAAAAAAGAGGAAGGAAGAAAATAACCATATTAACTAAGAAGTACTAAAAGACATTTATAAATAATATCACACTCTACATAATGTACTAATCTCAAGTTTAAAAATAGCAATAGTTCCTCAACAAAATGTCCTTCAACAGATATCTATCATCCTAATTTTGAAATGTTATAAAAATTAATTATAACATTTAATTATCACCTTCACAGTTAATGGGGAGAGACAATTATTAAAACAGAGATATTCATTAACACATTTAGAAACTACATTAACACATTTAGGTTATTTTTATCCCAATATCTAATAATTAATATAGGTGAGATGTGTACTATATACTCTAGTTCAATATACATTCTAATAAGTACCACGCCAAGGTAAAGCAGTAACTTTGGAAATTTCAAATGTCAAATGTTTCCACCAAGAATCATATTTGTGTTTTATTATTGTCTTACCTCAATGATTTTGTCATGAACCTCCAAGCCTTCTGCTCTGTCAGCAGGTCCATTTTTCAAAATTTTTGAAACATAAATTCCTTCTCTTGATATTTCTTCTTGACCATTCTATTAAAAATATAACCATTAGCAGTAAGGAAGATGCAAACAAAGTTTTTAGTTGGATCAAGGACAATTTGGTAAATGTCTCACTGCCAACCCTCCTTAACATGCAACTCTTTTTCTTAGCTGGGGATTTGACACTGAATTTTAACTTACTTAACACCAGTCATTCATCAAGATGTCAGCTTTAATGAATGAGTCCAGCATCTCTGGCCAGATTATCTATCTACCTCGTGTTTTCAAGTGTGAATAAGAATCTATGGGGAAAGGGCATGTACAAGGCAATATCAACAGGCTCCTCCATATGACTTATAGAGCATCCCATTTCCAAAGAGAGGGTGTGATTGAAAAAGGTTGTAAGTTAACGAAAACAAGAAGCATATCCAGTCTCACTATATAACTGGTTTGAGGGGTGGTCATAATCTTCAAAATATAATTTAGCCTTGTGAAGTGATAGATTTGGGATATAGCTCTGGCTGTTCCTAGTCACAGCAAAGACTGGGAGCTTGCTGAAGTGTGAAATCCCAAAGGATCAACTCTAAGCTGCAAGAGAACCATTCAAAGCTAATTGGTACACCCTTCAGGTGTAATGAGCCTAATGATCAGGTGAACCTCAAACATGTAGCCAATATGGTACAAGTGGTACATGTTAGCCAGTCCCAGGAAACCAATGACAGTGCAAAACTTATTTAGGGAAAATGCCCGATATCTTATAATAATACATCATATAATTTTAAATGCCATTTCACTTCTTGGCAGGTTAAATAACATTTTTCTCCTTAATTAGTCTTCCTTAACATGAATTTTAAGAGGCTCTAAAAAATGGCCAATGTCACTTAAATGTCAAACACCTAACTATAGCATTCATAACAATATACCTCAGGGGAAAATGAAACAAAAATGATATGATGAAAAGACGTGTATTTTTTTTCCATAATGAATGGGACTGTCCTAGAGACAGAAGCAAAGCAGTCATTAGTTGTTGGGTTTTTCAGATGCTAAACACAAAAAGGAAATATGCCATCGCCATCCTGACCTAAATAGAGCATATGGCCAACAACTCTAAGACAGTTCCCTGGACAACATCTGCATTGCAGGATGCAAAAATTTCATGGCAGTTTATTGAGGAAATTAAAGAACATGATTTCTTTTAAAGCTTCACCACCTTTTTCTAGTTATAGAGAAGATTAAGTTGATGTAGTATTTAAAGGATACACAGAACTTTGCAACTACAGCACAGTATGCAGTAAAAGATTATAACCCACGTTTTGAAAACAGTTGGCATCAGTGTAGAAAGTATTATTCATTCAATTAAATAAAAGAATTGACTTGGGGAGTCAAAAATATTTCAAGCCTGCTCTTGTCCTTTAACATGTCATTTCCTATGTAACTGTGAAAACAATATCCCTTATTTCAAAACTGATTTTAATGACTTATTCATTCACTCAGCATATACTGCCTGGTCTGTATAAGCATCTGAAAACTGACCAACTTAACATAATCAGTAGGAGGTGCAAGCAGGCAATACAATTGCCTAATATTATTCAATAAAAATTGCCTATACACATTACTATGAAATAGTTTTATTTAAGAAATTTGCCATTGGATAAATATGAAATGTACTCTTTTCTTTTTAAGTAGTAAAGAGAATGAAGTTTTTAGCTGTTTTGTTTTGCTTTTCCAAAAAAATTATACACACACACACACACACACACACACACACACACACACACAAGAATATTTGTGTTAAGGAAACTATTTAATCACAAACATAACTTTAAAGATCAAACCAGATGCTTTTTTTACTAAAAATCCACAAATGAAAACTAATTTATTATTTTATAATCAAAGACTAAGAGCTATGCGTTAACAAGCTGGGTTACCTGATTTGGCCGACCTCCGATAATATTGAATCCCAAAGTGTCATTTTCTCGTTCTAATAGAATGGTGAATGGCTTATGTTCTCCACCCTGGAAGAAAGAGGATAAAATAGAAAACTCCGTAAAAAGATACACAAAATTAAGTAATTCTAGAGTAAAGTTTTTTCCCCACTGTAAGTAAGTTAACATTCAAAAAGGGGAAAAACTTACAATTAAGAATGGCTGAATTTGAGAAGAGGTTAATTTATTCCTAAATTGAAAGTATGTGTTTGAAGGGAACAACCATACATGTGAAAAAAACAACTATTTTCAACTAAATGGCATTGCATTTGTACACATTAAGCAGCTTTTATTCTTATGCATTCAGTGTTTAATTTTGGCTTCACTGCAATTTAAAACAGAATTCTAGTTTAGCCTTGCAAGTGTTCTTATTTTTCCCCTCTATTACAAAGGAGTAACATAAATTGTTAAAAGATCTGAGAATTACTCTGTGAAAAATTTCACCTTGGAAAGTCTGAAAAAATAGTGAACTATTTATAAATTTCTTTCCACTGTGCTGTTTGGATTATCATTGTCATGCAGAATATAACAGGTTACAGTAATTCTAATTTTAAATATTATTATTATTATTGGGTTTTGCATAACTTCTGAAGATTAAATTTAAAAAAAAAAAATCAGGAGAGAGTTAAACACATAGTAGGAATTATATGTACAACCTGTTCATCTTATTTTAAAAATAAGATGAGGTGTTTGTTTTGTTTACGGTTATGGATGTTTACTATCCTAAGATATCATATATTTGGCAGTGGGCAATTCCTTCAGAATGATAAAATCCCATAAGCATCTTTTAAGGCTACTACCATCATCACCCCCTCTTCCCAGGAGCTTTCCCCAGGCAGTGCGCACAGCAGCCCCTACTGGTGGTGGGAAAACATTTCTGAGGAGCACAGAGCCTTCTGGTAATGAAGTCTGCAGAACATGGGCACTTTTCCCTCACTTCTGAGAACCGCAGCTTGACTTTTTGAATGGACTTCCCTGTCATATAATTCTGGCTGTTACTCCTTTCCACCAACTATTGCTTCCCTAAGACCTTGAGACCTGCGCTGGCACTACAAAGCATATTTCTGGCTTCTCTCTAGATCTTCTCATTTTGTAAATGTATCTGGGATATAACTCGGATAAAGAAAGACTAATAGGTTGCATCCAGTCTTTTAATTAAGCAGTGTGCTTCCGTTTATCAGAGTAGAAACATTGTAGCCCTTCACATTTCTTTCTTTCTTTCTTTCTTTCTTTCTTTCTTTCTTTCTTTCTTTCTTTCTTTCTTTCTTTCTTTCTTTCTTTCTTTCTTTCTTTTTTTAGGTGCAAGGACAGAAGCGTCTTGAGTCCATGCCTGAGTTGGAGAGAGTCCCAGAAGGGAAGCACCCCGGGTTGCCCCTCCCCAAGACACTGAAGAATGGAAACAGCTCCTTGAATGGAGTGCAAGTTCTCCTAAACCCCTGCTCACCATGGCAGCGACCAACAATGTCAAACACTGTGCAGAAGTCCTCCAGAAGCGAAGTGACAGCTTTATAAACAAGGGGTGCTGCAAAGAGGCTTGTTTATTCGGCCTAAAAGCGGGCAGCCTGCGAGCACGGAGCTCAGTTGGGGCTAGCAGCTTCCACAAAGAAGAGAAACAGCCGCTGCAGAGCGGGGAGGAAGGGAGAGGAGGGAGGGCTGCTTTGACCCCAGATGGATGTAGCTGTTCCTCAAGTCTCTCTCTCTCTCTCTCTCTCTCTCTCTCTCTCTCTCTCTCTCTCTCTCTCTCTCTCTCTCTCTCACACACACACACACACACACACACACACACACACACACACACCACACACAACCACCACCACCACCAATACTGAAACAAGAAGGCAGGTAAGGGTGATTTAGGGAAGGTAGGGGTGATGCAAAGAACTCTTCATGTCTAAAAAACATATATCATCTCTTAACTCTAGTTCCCCACATCCCTGACTTTCCCTGCACTGAGCAGAAGGTGGCTGATGAGGGCAGTGCGACAGGAAAACCAAATCTTTGGGAGCCCATGGAGGGGGCTCAGCAGGCGGCAGGGATGCTGGTGCAGTGGGAGAGGGAGGCCAGGGTGGCAAGGTCCCTGCCTCCTGGTCTCAGGTAAGGGCCAACGGTACAAAAATAAAGGCAGAGGGGGTAAGGGCAGGCGTCAGAAAGAGGGGGGAACATGGTTTCTGGGTGAGAAAACGAGTTTTCCTGATAGCCCCCTTCTTCGTGGAAAAGTTGGCATAGAAACTGGTTAACTCTTTCCAATCCTCCTATAAACGGAAAGGGAGCAGTCCTTGCTCACTGCAATACTAGGACATCCGGGAGACTAGTAACAGTATAGGAACATCAGTAACATCGGGCGGGTGGATGCCTCCTACCGCATGATCAGGAGGGCATCCCCTTCCCCGGGGAGTCCCGAACCTCAAAAAGAGCCTTCCTCTGTCCACCCCAACCGACCATTCCCGGGGGGCCCAGCCCCGTGCGCTTACCGGGCCGCGGCCGCCGCCCAGGTCCCTGGCGAAGTTGCGGGCGTGAGCCATGTACGGGGCGAACTTGTGCGGTACCTGCGGGCCGCCGGCTGCGCCTCGTCCTGCGGCGCCCAGAGCTGCGCCGGCAGCGCCCGCTCGCGCCGCCTCCCGGCGAGCCCTGGCGCCCGGGCCCCCGCCCGCGCCCGCCGCGGCCGCCCCGCAGCCCCCCGCCCCCGCCGGCCCCGGGCGCCGCTCCTCCGCAGCCCCCCCGCGCGGGCACGGCCCCGCCGCCCACCGGCCCCGAGACGCAGCCCCGGCGGCGGGCACGGCCGGAGCTCCCCCAGCGCTGGGCGTGCGCCTCCAGCTCCCGCCGCCCGACCGAGCGGCCGCAGCAGCCACAGCTGCAGGGACCGAGCTGGGTGCGCAGCTGGTGCAGGAGGCTGCGCAGAGGCAGCGCCCGGTACCGCTCGCCGGGCGCGGGCGGCTGGCACTGCAGCGGGCACCGGCGCTGCCGCGCCGCCCAGGGCAGCAGGCAGCTGGCGCAGAAGACGTGCCCGCACGGCGTGCACCGGGGCTCCTGCAGCACCCCGCGGCGCAGCCCGCACGCCAGATCCGGGCCCAGGGCCTGGGCGAAGCGCTCCAGGGCAAAGCCCATGGCTGGTGGGGGAGAGGGGTCAGGGGACCGGAGGGCGGAGTCCACTTCCTTTGAGCACCCCTGTCTCCCCGGGACACCCCTGAGACAGACCCCCGCTGTGGCCCCGGAGGGGGGCAGGAGGAGAAGGTTTGTTTTTTGGGGGGGCTGGGGGGGATTGCAGAGTTTGGCGTGAAGTTTTCAGCTCCAGCTAAGTCCCCTGGCTCCGCTGTATTGACGCTAATAGAAGCCCCCTCAAGTGATGCCCCCCACCCACCCACCCCGACCTTTCCTTAGCTGCTCTGCAATGTATATTCTTTCAAATTGTGTCCGCGGAGGGCCGAGGCCAGTTCTCAACGGATCTTAGGGGAAGGGTGCTCCACTTGGCCTGCACGGTGGACTTCAGGCAGTCTTCCAGCAGGACTAACTTCCAGTTTCACCTGAATGCTATAAGCTCCCAGGAAGCAGAATCTTTGTCCCTGAGGTTGTCCATTCCATCCACTCCTCATCACTCCGCATCAGGTGGGTCTGCAATCAATGTGTTTGAATGAGATGCACTTTTGTTCTTTCAAAGCAATCGACTACCAAATCACCAGCCTGGTTTGTCTGCCAGCTTAGGAAAATCACTGCGAGGCATCTCCAGAGCCAGGTTTCTCAAATCACGATCGGGAAGTCAGTGAGATAGATGGCTGAGGCAGGAGGATGACTGGCAGCCAGGATGGGGAAAAGGTCAGGTGCTCGCCTTAGGAAACCTGTCTCTTAGGGACAACTTGAACCACCATTCAAGGCCTCCAGCCTCTGTTACTAAGCACTGGGATTCCAGGTTCAATCACCACACCATCCGTCTTCTACTTCCGCAGGCATTTACACTGGGAAGGGAATGCGACCTTTTTGGGCACCTGGGAAGGTGAATGAAAAGGAAAAATTATGAAAGGAAGCAGTGAGATCAGAAATAAGATCTTACTAGTTGCTTCCCTCTATTTACCCTGTATATGCAGTTTAGGTCCAAAGTGCTTCCTCCCCCAGTTTGACTCTTCAAAGTGGGTAGCATGCCACGCCTTACTGAAAAATGCAGCAAGTGCCTCCAAGCTCTCCTTCCCCAGCTTCCTTCACCATTTTCTGAAACTTAAACTTAAAGCAACCTTATCATCTAAATACATACCATTTCCTGCCCTTACGCTGCAGCTACTTCCACAGGCCCAGGATGGGCTCCCTGAGTTAATCTGTGATGATTCCTCATCGCCAGGTGAGCGTTTTGCCAGGAAAGCTGTGTCCTTATGGATAGCACCAGTAGCTAGCAGTTGAAACACAGGAACAAGGCTCCATCTAGTCTTTGCCCTTTAAATCCTTGGAGCTAAGGGAAGAATTAGCAATGGCTAATAATAGAGGCTAATTAAGAACCTTCTGGGCCTTCTTTCTGTTTGAAAGATGAGATTTTATTAGAGTAGTTCAACAGCAGTGGGGATCCTGGATTGACTTGCCAGATATTTGATATGCTTCTAAACCTGTTTCAAAATAAGATGCTATAGTCCACATTTTCTACATATACTAGTAGATCATGATAAAGTACCATTTGCCACATGCTGTAGATTTCCCTCTTCCCTTTGGCCTTTCACAAACAAACAATAATTCCCAAGTAATTAAGAAATCATTTAACATTAGTAGCATGAGCATATGCTTCTGAATTGCATAGGCTATACAAAGGAAAATACTATAGAATGTATTCAAATAATCTGGGCCACAGGGTTCTGTTCCATCTTTTTTAGTTACAGAAAAAGCTGTGACTTATAGCTGTGAGATTATAGCTAGGGCTTGACATTAAGCATGATGATAGAGAGAATGTTTTTAAGAAAGGAGAGAGAAGAGGTAAAATCTGAAAATGTTCAGTTGAGATATTATAAAACTTAGATATGCAGTTAGTTGAAAATTAAAAACAAACACCTATATATCACAATGGTTCTATGATGAGTTAGGTTAACCTATGTAATTCTTGTAGCAAAATTAGGGTCATGAGTAGATCTTATTATGAGTAATTCTGGGATGTATATTATTTTGATTGTTGAAAAGAAGATGGATGTCAAAAACCTTGTCCACAGAGAATCACGAGTTAAACATGAGAACATGTGAAGTGAAGCCAAGTAATAAAGTAGGCCAAAAGGGAGCTTAGGAAAATCTTTTACCTGAGAAAAGGCAAGCGTGAGAGCTTCCAAGAGAGTTAGTTGCCAGGACAAAAACATTATGAGGTGAACACTAAGGGAATGGACACACCTACATGAAGCCCATGAAATCTTCCCATCTGAAAACATGGCAGCATAATAAACCTGTAATATCAATTGAACTAACTAGTCTGATGTCCCTTCTCAGACTATAAAAGATTATTCTCATATTAGGAAAATTGTAGTATCTCAGAAAAGCTTAGGTGAGTTGGAAATCTGGAACTGAGTAAACAAAGAAAGCATTTGAAATAAGTTTAAATTATGCATGAATATATCAGCAAAATAGATTCAGTAACATAGAGATATCTTTTGCCAAATAAGAAAAATTACCACCTTGCATCAATAGCTTGGGCATGTCCGTATGTCTTCACTGATCAGAATTATCTGTTAAGAAGCCCTGGTTAGTGAAAGCTTCAAGCTCAAAAGCAACATTGTCTTTCTTCTTGCTTCGGGTTGTGGCCAAGACCAAGCCTGTCACCTTTCTCATAACCTTCCATTCAGACTGAACCTGAGACTGTGCTTTGCCAGCTGAGATTCAATGGGAAGACAATAAATATGCTTCTTTCATCTGCAAGCCAAAGGAACATGGCTGGACTCAAAGTGTTTTAAGGTAACCTTTGTTTGGTTGGGTATTTTCAGCATAGGAACTAGTTTTTGTTTTAATCCACTGTTAGGGGTCATAGATCCAAGAAAACAGGTAAAGAATTTACTTACTTGCTATATTCATTGGGCCAGTTTCTAGAGCAGGAATGAACGTGGGCATGTCTGTGAGTGTTTCCAGTGAGAAGCGTGAGTCATCCCTACTTCCAAGGATGAATAGGGAATCTGAGAGTTGCTGATTGTTAAGTCAAACACTAAAAGACCTAATACTGAAATACTATATTCAAAGACTCAGAAATGATGAATGGAGAGGTGAATAGGAAAAAGAGATACTTTTTTTCCCACCCCATGCATAGATAATACTTAAGTCAACTCATTTGCCATTTTTTAACTGTTGTCTCATGCATTTGATTGAGAATTGTGAAGTCAGGAAGCTTGAAGAAATTCTTCAAAGAAACAAATAAAGCACTTCTTTAATTCATACATGTTTAGATAGTCTATTTTGGCACTTTCAACAAAACAGTAATTTTAAAATCTTCTATTATAAGATCTTAAAATCTCCTCACTTATATTTCCTTTACCCTCAATCCTTGGCCAGAAATCATGAATTACTATTATGGTCTGTAATCATACACATTTCTCCAAAGTGCCCCAAATTTAAGCTGTAACTATAATATTTATATAAGATACCCTGCTAGGTGAGGTAAAAATACCCAGCTACGTGAGGTCAAAAAAGTTCCCATGGATACATTTATTTGTATTATTGAAGTTAACATTCATTTCTGTTCTTATCTTTATACTATTTACACTTAGTAGCATAAATAAATGGGTTTATAAAGCATGAGATAATAAGATCAACTTGGAACTATTTAAAAATTCTAAACTTGATTAAAACAATAAAAGATGCTTTCAAGTTGAGCTATTGGAAAGCTCACTAATAATGAGGAAACTATTTTTACAACATAGGCTGATAACATACTGTGTCAAGGAAGAAACACTTTTAGATGTGCATTTCACTCTGAAAATTACAGAACTGGTCAAGCCCAGAGAACATAGAGCAATATCCGTCATTATGTCATTGTAAGTTCTGATTGTCAACATGTACTCCACCAGAAGTTATTTTCTATTACCTTCCTTTTCAACTATCTTTGGCAAAGTGAAGAATTTAAAGGGCCATCATGACAGTACAGAATGCCATTTTCAAGAAGAATGCGATGATATAATCAAAACTATTGTGTACAGCAAAATACAGTAAATGATTTACAGTAATTATGCAGTGTCTGCGGGATGAAGTATCAGACAGCACAGAATGAAGCATTGGAAGGAGGCCAAGTTAAAGTGGAAGATTAGATTAAAAATTGTGGCAACTTTCAATTCAATGATAAACTGATTTCTAAATTCACTGAGACATTAGGGTAACTTTATTATCCGTTTAAGAGAGAAATGTTGTGAGAGGTGGTTTATATGAGAAAATAGATTAAATCCTGTATTAAGTTAACCTTGATTTTGTGCTATCACTTTTGGGCCACAGTCTCTAACAAAGAGGGAAAATATCAGAAACAATTACAAAAGCTAATATGCCATAATTATTCACTCTTGTGACAGGCATAGCATACACTCTACAC